TCGTAATCACTAGATCAGAAGCCACACTGGTAATCCCAATGGATATGCCATATTCCAGTCAAGGGAATATTTTCTCCAATTTTCATTAAAGTCAGGTCCACATCTACTCTTTTGTATTCTGCTTCTTTCACTTTCTTTACTAATGATTCCTAGTGAACAATGTTTTAATCTGGAAATCACACTTTAGTGCAACAAGCAATGAGGTTAAACATCTGGATGACATCTTACTGAGCTCAATAGAATCACATAGAGCTGTGAGATTAGGGGAAGCTATTCTGTTATAACATTGCCTATGCTATTCTGGTTCTCTGCTTCATATGCTCAGAACTGGGAAGTGCAAAGCCAAAAGCATATGAAACAGGAAACCAGAATACGCCTATGATTGAATTATACATGATGCCATCCTTAAATCCAATGTGTTCTGCAAAAAAACTGCATAAAAAAACACTGAAAAAATTGTGTGCATCAATTTTCTATAGTGTGCGTCCCTGATGCACAACAGTGCGTAAAAGGAAACAATGAAAAGAAGTCACTTTCCTGTAAAATTTATGTCTAGCTTGACTCTTAACAGTTGTTGTTTTGAGTTTGTCAATTAATAACAAAAAACTGTTTTTGTTTGATTTTAGCAGGATCAGTATAAAAAAAAAATTTGGCAATTATGTGGTTATAGAATAGAGTATCATTTTGTCTAACAATTAAATGATTTCTTCTTGTCACATCCATTACTGTTCCCATACTATGTCACATTAAGAAACATGATCACATCCAACTCCTTACACAAACTGTAGGATTGCCACTTGGTTGTGATAAGTATTGGAAAATCATATTTTCTGTCATTTTAATGATTTATATTGGTTTCATTACTTACAGTCCTATAATGTAAGACATATCACATGTTATTTATGTTTTAGTGCTACATCTTACTGTCCAAATAACGGCTTTGTACAGCATGTTCCAATATCAGTTGACATCAGAACAAGTTGTCAAAGTTTTAGGAATATCTCACACACTTGAAAGACAATACTGACACTCTTCTACATTGATATTTAATGTATTTACTGTGCTGTTTTTATCCTGGTTGAATCAAAATCTGACACTAGCAAATGAGTGTATTTTCATCTTCCATTGACATATATTTGAATTTGTTGAAATCTGACATTAGTCTAGGTATGTCGAAGTATGTTCAAGTAGGTTCATGTGGAGAGGGGATATTTTTTCTTGAATTATACAAGCATTGCTTTAAGGCTTTAAGTTCTAATAGGCATAATATATTCTTATTAGTTTCATTAAAGAATAATACTTTAACTTGATATTGGCATTATCGGATTCCACCACTTTCTGGCCAACTGAAATGTAGGACAGTGAAACTTAAAAACAGTCAATTTGCTTCTGTGAGAATTTGAATTTCTTAGGAGAAAAACATTAGAGTAAGTAAACTAATACATTATAACTTTAATTTGAAGAGCACCAATATGGACTGCCAAGTGTGTGAGATATTCCTGAAAATTTGGACTTTCATTACAATGCCAGTTGACATAAAAAAAATACTACACAGTGCCATCATTGTGGCATTAAGACTGTGATGCCCAAAAAATAAATATCAAAGCTGAGATCTAACATAATAGGAGGACTATAGTACTTACTGCTCCACCAAATGTGTTATTGTAATCACATGAGTCTGACATTTCATCCACAAAATTCAATGAAATCTCTGACAACACAATTTCACCTTATCAATAGTTTAATATTTGAAGTGTAATGACATCAACCATTATTTCTACTATCCAAACTTTAAGAACATATTTCCATGTTGTTATTCAGTCCATGATAGAATGTGCAATTTCCGCCTGAGGGAAAGGGTTTGTGACAGTAATGGTGAAAATAAAGGTTCATTTGCTGGATTGGAGTCATGTAATGCTTGTCTGAGAGTTATGCATTGGATATGTGTAGTTTTTCAGTCTTCTTGTTTTTTTGAAGCGATAAAAGACATGTAAGAAAAGTTAAATCGAGCCGAGAATTGGGTCATGCTTGCAGTGCTTGTGTTACTTAATTGTATATAATTTTTTGTGGACAGAGATTTCATCTAACTTTATTGAGAAAAGGTCAGACTACTGTGCTGTAATGGAACGAAATCACAGCCAACTTAAGCAAATTTAAAGCCTATATATCTGAAATATATGATGATTCCTTTTAATAATGTACAGAATGATGTCTTTTAATTTAAACAATGAACTGAATTTAACGCAATTAGTTACTCGCGGAAATAGGTGATGAAACGAAACACGTTTTCATTTACTGAACAAAGCCCTAGACGACTCATTATACCGAATAGTCTATATGCCAATATGCTTGTAAGAAAAAATATAACAGAATAAACGTATTACTTTCCAACCTTGAGATATCTTACTGCTGTTTTTAGAAATTCCATGGAAAACTGGAGAAAAAAATTCCTTTCCATAGTAACACCTATGACAGGTGCCTTAAGAAATTACATAGAAATTACATAAGCTTATTTTGGTGAATGCAGACATTCAATAGGGAATTCTTAACCTGTGGAGATAAATGAAATGAAATTATTGTTTGACTGATAAAGCCAGTAAGCTCTAAAAGGTGATGCAAATTTCTCACCATTGTAGATTCCCTCGATAAATCAACACAGAACACAACAGGAACGCAGTGCCCTCTTCTACTCTCGACAGATCTCGTGCAGATGAGAAGATAAAATTTAAGTATGAGAGACAATGATGACTATCATTCATATGAATTTCACTAATAAAATTCCTTTTGAAACTACACGAAACTATAGTTACCTAGAAAAAGGAAATATTCAGTTATATTAACACAAATTTATTATATAGCTACGTTAAGTCTCGGTTAATGGCAGGTGAGATTAAGAACGATAACTCTTACTTACCTTGAATATCAAGTGGTAAAACACTCGTAAAATTGAGATTAAAATATTTGATATTTGATCAGGGTAACAATTGTTACATATGGTTTCTGAGTTTACGAATTTGAAGAATTTTGTAGAAAATAGTAGGTTATGGATATAGTTTCAGGGGAAAATAGTATGGAACTTAGAAATATGTAGTGAATGCGTGTTAGTGATGCTTCCTTGGGCTATTTTTTTTTTTTTTTTTCATATCACTTTGTCAAAATAAGAATGTAGTTGCACAAAAAGATGGCATTTTTTACCCCATTTTTTACTAGAATTATCTAGGGATAATAGTATAAGAAGAACACACACGCACGAACACACATTAAATAACCACATACTACATGTCGGTGAAAAAAACATTTTGGACTAACACTATCTGAGGATCTCAAGTTGGTATCGAATATTATCATATCAACCAAGAAAGCAAACACTAGCATTTCTAAAAAGAAACCTCATATACTGTCTGCAGACATGTAGAAGAAATGCCTATCTAACCCTAGTCAAATCCGTGTTAGAATACGGTTGTGTTGTTTGAGATCCATACTACATTAGATCTTAATAGAATCGAAAAGGTTCAACAACTGGCACCGAGATTTATATATGGTGACTACAAAACCAGAGAAGCATGATTTATCACCAATATGTTAGCAGGCATGGGTCTGTCATCACTCCAAGACAGTAGTAGTTGAGGAGTTATTGCCAGCTTTCTCACCAAATATATTTTTAAAACAATTAAAACAACAACAAAAAAAAAATGCCAGATTAAAGCCAAATCTTTTCCAAATTTTGAAAGTATAAAAATTGTAGATAAACTTGTATCAAATAATATTAGATTTTTTGTAGTTGAGCAATGTAAAACAGAAAAGCATGGAATTTCTTTATTCGTAAAAACAATTGTGGATTGGAATTATCTGAGTGACAGTCTTGTGTGCGCGCAGTCAGTGGAGAGCTTCAAGACAGCTCTTGAGCAATACTACATGTGTCAAGGTTTTAGTTGTCTCTCTCTCTCTCTCTCTCTCTCTCTCTCTCTCTCTCTCTCTCTCTCTCTCTCTCTCTCTCTCTCTCTCTCTCTCTCTCTCTCTCTCTCTTCCGGTGCAAATGTATGTCGCAACTAGCCCTGCACTGTATACATTCAGAATTAGACGCACAAACAACCACAGTACTCAGTCTCCTTTTTGTTGCACAATTTAAATAGAAAAATATATACGTTTCGGTAACATATAAATTGTTGATAGGGGTGCAACGATACAACGGTATACCGGCATATTACCATTTGCTAATCTGGCAATTCATACCGCAATACGGTTTCCTGTACCGCGACTTTTTCATGGTCTTCCTTTGATTCAACATATTTCGGTATACAGCATTTTTTTTCCAATTTAATTTAAGAATCATATTTTCCTTGGGGTTTTTTTTCTGATGTACGTTTAACACGAGATTGCAAGAGAATATAAAAATAGATGCATTATCCATTACTTGAATTTAATTGTGAGTGGCAAGCTAAGACCAAGGGGTAGTTTTCCAGTAAAAAGACAATAATAAACTTCACGTTGCCTCAGATATGTATGTCCTGTTCATAATGATGCTAAATGAAAAGTACTCAAGAATCCGTAAATGTAAATGTATCAGTTCCTCTACAATAATTTATTTTTGTATTCAATGCCCGGTATGTACACACAACAAACCATGCAACATCTGCTGTTTTGACGGATAGCTTCCAAGAACAAAAAGGGAGCAAGACATTTGAAGTAAATGCAACAGCATGTGAAAATCTCCATATGAAATCATTGTCGGTCATTTAAAAGTGCTAGTAGAGTCACCGAATCATACGCAACTATTATTGCTTGGATCTTAAATGAGAACTGTTAACTGCATTCTTCTTTCTACAGAACAGTTTTCTTCCTAACTGCATTCTTCTTTCTACAGAACAGTTTTCTTCCAGAGAGTCACACTAACTTGGATATCTCCAATGTATTTGGAATGGATTGGCCGCAAGAATCATCCCTTACCTTAGTAAAGGACAATGCCATTAATGTGGCTGTGGCTACTTCGGAGTCCTACCGCTCCGGTGGCCTAGTGGTTAGAGCGTCCGCCTCAGATGGGGAAAATTCGCGGGTTCGATCCAACGGTCGGTGCATACTAAAGACGTTAAAATTGGTTTTAACAGCAGCCTCGCTTGGTGTTCAAGCATTAAGAGGTTAGTGTTAGGACTGATCGGGCTGGTGTCAGGATAATGTGATTGGGTGACATCATTCTACATGCCCCAGTGCTTGACATCACTATAAACTGCCACAATTAAATATCTTAGTGATATGACTTAAAAATTGTTAAAAGCTACGTTAAAAGTACAAATATTACAAGCACACACACACGCGCGCGCGCGCTTTGTAGTCTGGATGCAAAACTAATATAGGTTGTTATGCTCACACTCTAAACCTAGCAGTGCCCCAAGCGTTAAATATCAACAACGCGTAGAGAATTCTTGGTCGTATTAGAAAGATTGTATCTTTTTTCTTCTTTTTTTGTCACGGGAGCAACATAGATGATGTTGTACTAAGACACAAATCTAAATTACTCGGATTTAAAACGTAAAACTGCTTCGCGATATGTGCACCAGGTGGAGCTTTGCTATAGACACGATTAAAAAGTTCCAGGAGTTGTACCCTGTTGTTCATGGCTGCTTTAGTAGCAAGAGGTAGAAGAGAGGGGAGACCAAAAAATGGCGGCCGACAAATTTTTATTACCCATCAATAAAACCTCATTGTGGAAGCAGACGCTTTTATGAGCAAGAGACATAAAACATTTTCCGCGAACGACCTAAATTTATACGAGACTCACGGAGCCACCATACTACAAAATTAATATCAGTAAGGAAGAAAGTGTCGGCGACCAGTTTGAACGAAGCTTGGTATCTATTGAATCTTGAGTAATTATTATATTTTTATTTTTTGTTGTAATTGTTATATTTTTCTTTTGATATTGAAATTGTTGAATAACTAAAAGCGAAACGAAACTTTAGAGATTCAGAGGAATTTTAGTTAATTTGTAATCAAGCACACATTCATTAAGCGACACACACACACACAC